TAAGATGAGATTTATATGACGTGCAAAATTTAAATTTAAAGTTCTTATGAAAACTTTTGAGATCTTGATTAAATGACCCATAATTTATTAATTAAAGGAGATGATATGAGAAGTAGGACTTCCTTATGTTAAGTTGAATACAATACTTTACTGTATACATTTTTATATATAGATAGGAAAATGAGTGAAGAGACTTCCATGTAACTGACAAGTATGCTGAATCGAGCTGTTGTCAGAAGGAAGTTAGGGAGATCTAATTTGCTAAATGTGATATTACCACTCATCAAATTGATTATCCAGTTATTGGAGAGTTTGTTTAACTCCTAACTTCTCAAATTTAAGTTTTGAAAGAGGTTTGGTAAGGATATCTACTAGATGATTGGTGGAGCTGATGTGATAAACTTGGATTTTTTTTGGAGGAGCTGTTTTGTCGGGTGAAATTTTAGTTTATTTCGATATGCTTTGTATGAGTATAAAATATGGAATTGTTTACAATAGTCATAGCCAAGTTGTTATTGCAATATTGAGGAGTGGGATAGTGAATTGGTAGCTTAAATTTGTGAAGTAATTTTCAAACAAGTTGATGTCGATTGTGAATAATACAAGTGTTTGATGTTTAGCTTATATTGAAGATCTCACAACGATAAATTGTTTCTAAATGACCCAAGAAATAAGATTGTTGTCAAGATAAGAACTGTGGCTTGTGATAGATTTAAGTTCGGTGGTATGGCCTGCCAAATTAAAGTTGGAGATTGAAGAGCGTGATCACCTAACTGGATTGATAATCCATGAGTTTTTGTTCCTTCTAGATAACGAAGTAGGCATTTAACTAATTGAGAATGACCTTATGTCAAATTGTGCATATGTTGACACAATTGATTAACAACATAAGGAGTTGTTTGTTCTTATAATTTGGAGATCTTGTAAAGCTCTGGTGAGTTCGTGGTAGAGAGATGGGCATCATAAACTTATTTAAGCTTTTTTTAATAGACAATTTGGTAGGTTTGGGAGTAGAATTAGCTTTGCATGTTAACATAGTAGCTTTATGTGGTAGGTCAGTAAGTAATGTATTTGTATTGATTGAGTAGAAGGCCTTGTTTGGTGGGGTAAATTTTGATGCCCAAGAAGAAGAATGCATAATTAGTATTTTGAGATTAAATTTATCTTGAAATGTAGTGATAATGTTGGTTATGGCTTGATTTTGTTCTTTGTTATTAAAATTACATCAACATATATGAACACATAGATTGAGAAGTTGTTTTTATGGTAGATCATAAGCGAAGGATCAATAATGTTGAACTAAAATTCTTGTGTTGTAGATGTGTTTTAAAATTGTTGAACCATCACCACAAAGATTATTTCAAGCAATATAGAGCCGTCATTAGTTGAAAAATGTGAGTTATAAATTGCGGGTTTTTAAATCCTAGAGATTGTTGCATATAAACGGTTCCCTGATATTCTCCATAAAGGAATGTATTTGAAATGTTAACTAGTTGAAAAACCTATCGACCATGTTTAATATGATTGATAATAAAATATTAACAGTGTGCATTTTGGCGAGTGGACTGAAAGTATTAGTGTAGAATATGACTTAATTTTCCCTATCAATATCCTTGAGCAATGACTAAGTTCCTTGAGCAATGACTAAGCAAGCTTTGTAAAGAACAATTGTACCATCATGAAGAAGTTTAGTTTTTTAAGTCCATAAACTTCCAAATAGATTTTGTTGAGGTATGTAAGGAATTAGAGACCACATTTCTAGTTATCGTAAGGCATGGAATTCTTCTGACATTGCGCATGCCAGTGTGGGTTCTAAGTAACCTTTGTATATACATGGAATCCAACGAAGATAAAATGAAGTATTATAGATTGAGAAGATGATGTGATTTGAGGGAGTAGATTTTGAACCAAGTTTGCATTGGGCACGTGTTGATTGAGGGTTCGATGTAAGATGAGTTAGCTAGTTGATGAGTTGGATCATGGCGTGGGTATGCTGGTTTTAGCAAGTGGATGATGAGCTGATGATAAGGAGAAATTGAAACTAGTTGTGGGTGTAAGTTTATGTGTGGTGTACTTTGAGAGTGTTGATAGGATGTGGAGGTGAGGTGAGGATCGTGGTTAGGTTTGCGTATGAACATTTGAATGATTAGTGAGTGACACTGTTGTTGCAATGGGTATGTGCATGGAAACATCAATGTCAAATTATTTGAAGATGAAGATTTTTCAAGTTTTTGGGTTATATCCTTTTTTAGGAGGTCGAATAGTTAAGAAATAAATGGCAAGAGGATCATGAAGCTAGTTTGTCTTGGAATTGCAGTTTTAACCATGGGAAACTTGAGCAACCAAATGATCGGAGATGCAAGTGGTTTGGTATTTTGTTGAATAAGAGCTAAAATAATGATTTCATTTTGGTATAGATTGAAAAAATTGATTGATTAAATAAACTCCAGTAGATAAAACATCACTAAAAAATGTAAGGTAACTAGCTAAGTGCACTTAGAAAAGTTAATTTCCCTAACTACCTTCTGACAACAACACATCTACTTGTTAGTTTCATGGAAGGCTCTACACACAATTACATATATATCTAGCATTGCATTCAGGTTAAAATATGGAAGAATTGAGATGAATATTGTAGAGTAAAGTGCACTAGTTAACTTTTGATCTATTAGCTGCAATGTATAGCAATGTTGATACGAATTTAATTTCCTGCAATGTCTATGGAATATTTTGATGGACGTGGCAAGAAAGGAACCCTGTAGCTTTGAATAGCTCGATGAGATGAGAGCACCAAATAGGGTAATTGTTTGTGTTGAGTGGAGAACTAGCAATTATTTTGATATTAATCTTGGGGAATTTGATATAGGAGGGGATAGTTGTTTCTGCCATTGTAGATAGGAAAGGGTTATCCATGTGATTGTGCGCAAAAGGAGGGAGAAGAATAAGACATGGTTTGGAGAAGAAAGAAGAAAGTTAGATTTTTGTAGAAGGATTGTTGTGGAGCTTATGTAATCTATGACACCATGAAGATGCTACAGTAGAGCAACATAAGTAATTCTTCCCATTATGAAGTTGAATGCAACACTCCATTGTATACAAGTTTATATAAAGAGGGCATTATGTGTAGAAACTTCCGTGTAATTAACAGGCATGTTGAGGCGATCTTCAGTCAGAAGGTAGTTAGGGAGAATATAATTTGTTACAATATCAATTGTTTTGAGACTTAGAATTGTAACTTAGATCATGAGTTCAAGTTTTGAGACTTATAATTTATCGTTCATTGTTCACAAAAAAATTTTATGATCATGAATTCATTTAAATATTTTATTTTGAGAAAGAGAGTTGAAGAAGTGATAACAATGATTCAATTGAAAGATAATTATGTTATTGTTATGGCATGTGAAAGTAAGTTGTGTAATATCACCTTCATGGTAGAATCATACATAACAGTAGAATCATCTAATACTAGAGAAATGAAAATAATTTTTTTTCTCTTTAATGTAAATCTTTGTTAAAACCCCCAATTTGATAGAAATAATTATTTATTAACTTATATGATTAGTTGAAATAATATTTATGTTATGTGTGTGTGTGTGTGTGTACACGTGTGCTAAAAGATATGCAATGGAAGTGTGATTATTTAGCATCTTAATGTTACACAAAAATTTAGCACACACTCAGAGAATAAAGGTGACAGGTTGAGACACCATAAATTTTTACATGGAAAACCTATAAAGGGAAAAAAAAATCCTTGAGTGTAGCCCAATAAAAAATAATCCGTATAGCACGATGAGTACAAATACAAGTCCTTTTCCCACGAGAGGGAAAATGATTACACAGCCATAATGTTCCTATGATGGAGGACACCTTGCACAACAATCGGCAGTGGTTGCAGTTGTCAAAATTCATTGCACCGTCTTTGAAGTGTTTCATTGTTTGTTATTCAGGACGACATGCTGCTCCATAAAATGTCTTGTTGCTCTGCCACGTTGACTAGTAAATTCTCAATACAATGCTTCTTACTCTGCAACTTTGGTCGTTGTTCGACAAGGTACTTCGTTACTTCGCAACATGCAGGGGATAGCTAGCCGTAGTCAAAGGTGGCCGACGAATGATAGTTGACAGTGGTTGGCGGCAGTTGGAGAGAGAAATATTCGTCAAATCTTCAGTGCATGACACTGGACTTCGATTTCTTCTCTTCTCGATCCTCCCCCAAGCTCAGTTTTTAATCCCCTTTCCTGAAGGGGATAAGGTTCCATTTATAGAGTATAAGAGAGACATCTCGATAAATAATGAAAGAATCCAGACCACTCTATCAAATTATCCAGAGAGATGCTCTTGATTGAACGACATTTTGTGGACATTTGATTGTTTTAATTGTGACGGAATTGAATGATCATGAGCTTGTTAGAATTTTCTCATCTTGGAGCTCGATTTGATTGTAAGTTTGTGAGATTTGGAATCCATTTGACCTTCCAGTTGGACACCAAAAGTTTTCAAAAATCATTTAACTACTTGATTGAGGCTTGATTTAACTTAGATTTAACCAACTTTTGTGTCATTGTGTTCATCTGGTCTAGCTGGTCAGTTTAACTGTAGCATTGTTGCAATTGGAGTTCAAAGAGATTTTTAATTGAAGTTTGAATATATTTTGTATTGAAAGATTGTTGCAAGATTCATACCACACCACACAATTCAAGTTAGATAAAATTTTCTTGATGGTGTATCAATATTTAAACAAAATGATTGATTTTCTTTTTCAACCATAAATCAATAAGTAAGCATACTATTCTTGCTTCCATGCAAAACATCGGGCGCTGAAAACAAGCATAATGGTAATTTATTTTTATTCTTTTAATTTCATTGCGTAAAATGAATAATAAAATTAATGAATTAATTGCTGCAAAATACAACATCAAACTCTATAATTTATTTAAAATAAAAAACAAATAAATAAACCAACATACATGGAAAATGTCAGCACTGTTCTCCAACCTCCTTTAAATGTGAACCTTCGAACGCTCAAATTATTCAACCTTACAATCCTTCTTCATATAACATCATATATTTAAATAATTATCATCAATTATTTCATAAAATGCATCTCCCTACATATAATAATTCATCAATCCACATTAATCAATAAAACAGCACCGACAGATCTTTGAACATGATCATTCATCATGATCCCCCTCGTCTTTCTTATAGTCTTCATTGCCATAAGGGCTGAAAACCTCAGCAAACCAACTGTTCTTCCTCCATGAATTCCACCCCATCTCCTCGCATATTTCATCGCTGTGGTTGATACTGAAGGTGGAGATACAATGGCGTCGATAGAACCTCGTCGTCTTCCTCATTATCTCCGTCTCCTGATGTACCTGTCTGAACATTTGCTCCACACTTGGAAGCTTGAATCTCCCTTCAACCAACCTTGCCAGCCACTTGCACCTCAGCTCTGCTGTGTGCAGGTTCGATACGCTTTCAATGTAGCCCACAAAGGCCATGTGCGGAATCAAAGGATTTATACTCCCCCTGTTCATTTAATCATACAAACAAACCAATATTATACTATAAAACATAAATATACGTACGAATATTGTTATGGTGTCTCCAATTATGCAAACTAAGACAAAGTCGAGTTTATAAGAAGGTTTGACTCTTTAAAAATGTTTAACTGGTCATCTTGTATGGGTCATTGGTCTATATATATATATGTAATGATAGATATGAGTGGAGAGGGTTAAGGGAGAGAGAAATTCTGAGAGCAAGGAACCAAGAAAACTTGTATCGATATCAAGATTGTAGAGGGCTTGGAACCAATAAAGCTTATATTGATATCAAGATTTATAGAGAGCTTGAAGAAATTGGTTCGTCCTTGATTTTGTGCAATGTAGTCATTAAGATTGGTTTAGTGAATTGTTTCTTGATTCTCTCCCGTGCGATGAACCGAACCACATAAATTCTCGGTGTTCTTATTTGTATTTTCTTTACGATTTTCTTCCTTTTCCCATTCCCACTTTGCTGTGCTGCGGCTATCTTGACATCATATTTCACAAATATAATTTTATCACTACTGAAAACATGCAAATTAGTGTCAGAAAGTATCAAACTTTGTGCCAAACCATGGAAGAAGCAAAAAGTCTAGTTTTGATAATTATGGACATTAAATCGGATGGAAGAAAATATCTGGCGCAAATGTCGCCGCTTTTATAATCATCGACTCTGGTTTTAAGAGTAAATTAATTCCGACACAAATTCAATTTTTTTTCACTAATTAGCATCAAACATGTCTGACGCTAAGCAGCATAAATCTTGTAGTGTATCGTGAAATTAATGAACTTACCTGTAGAGAGGCATGACGCCAGAGGAGTCCTCTATAAGGCCGGAGAAGGGCTCCGGGAGAACCAGTCGAAGCTTCTTCTTGCCGTCGAAACCGGTGGCGAGGAAGACGATATCAGCTTCCAGCTTTCTCCCGTCTTCCAAAACAACTCCTCCTTCCCAAAACCACCATTTTTCAGATTTCTCAAACTTAATCCTTCCCTCCTCGGCCTCGGGGAAGAAATTGTCCGGCAATATGGCCATCTGGCATGAAGCGTAGTCCTCTTCGAAGGGATGATTAGGCCTCAGCCCGTATTTGTTCAGTGGAAGCTTCCAAGTTAGATATGATTCTATGAATTTGGAGACACCTTTCCTCTGCATGAATCACAAATGTATAAGTTAATTAATTCATTACTAGCTAATATATCATTGATGACATCATAATAACAATAATATTTATTATTATATGTTGGACAAATTGATGATCGGTAATTAAGGATGATTAGTACCAGTGGAGTTGAGATATGGCAGAGGAGAGATCTGAGCAAGCCTTGATTTGGCCTTGGATGCAAGAACTGAGACAGCCTAGTTGAGTAAAATAAGAAAAATGGTAGGCCCCATATGGAGTATGAAGGAACCGTCCAGTGCAATGTCCTTATCACCATCGTGCATGGTTGACCACCTGCCCCTGCATTTCATTTTCTTTTTTTTAATCACAGTAATTAAGCTTGACTTTTAATTTACTGATTTATCCTTCAAACGCACAAGAAAAAAAAAGTCAACAGCATAATTAGTCCAAGTCAAACCCTAAATTATTATTAATTACAATAAAAATTACTTCTTGTAATATTCTTTTTAATACTATTCAATATTTAGACTTATACTCTTAACCATCAAATCAATAGTCGCATTCTTTTTCTAAAATTTTGAATGCAAGAGCTTTGGTGATGATTTCTAATCGCAATTTAAAGGCAAATGTGAGTATAAGTTAAAAATTTTAATTTTTTTTTATTAAATTTTCTATTACAGCTCTAAATTATAATAGTGTCGCACATAATTTTTGCTCTTGCTGTCCTTGGATTAATCTGCATGGAAACTCAGAACATGATATCGATGAAGCTCCCACGATACATGAGTAATTTTATAATTATATATTGTACACTAGGGTTATAATATACGCTATATTTGTAACTCTAAGGGTATGTACTGTTTTTTCGTGAAATCAGAAAGTCGTCACTCTTGCTCACGAGGACGTAGGCAGATTGCCGAACCTCGTTAAATCAGTATTTAATTTCTTATGTTCGTTGATTCATGCATTTATTTGCCCTAATTTCTCAACAAATAATAGGGTTGAGGTCCTTGATATGTAAATAGGAAGGTTTAAGAAGATTAATTGGAAAAACAACAATGGAACAACGCGGTTTCATTTAAGTGCAATAAAGCTTTGAAATTGATGATTAATTTCATAGAATTTTCTCAGAAAGATCTCTGAAGCTTCTTAATAGTACATAATTAATATTGACTTTCAATGAAGTCATAAATGCCAAAAAAACCCATGCAATTAATCAAAATCCTCGAACTTGAATCATGCATTAATAATGAAATGAGAAATAGCTCGCAGTAATTAATACCTTTGTTTACTTGCGCACATTCAGTAGCCAAATCAATGGCGGACTTCTTGTAACCAACCACCACAACCTTCTTTCCCTTCATCAACTTGGTGGCTTCTTCTTCATCAAGTTTACAGTAATCCAATGAATGCATCACCCTCCCTTTAAATACATCCTCTCCCTTCCCATTCGGAAACACAGGCAACTTTGGCGTGTCTCCATATTTTCCGATGCACATCACCACAAATTCAAAGTTGCACCACTGCCACAAATGAGAATTACATTTCAATTTTTAAATAATTTTTAAAACAACCCCCTTTCACGTTTGTCAACTTGTTTATTTTGAGTTTTGTTGGTTTATTTCAACATTCCTTAATTTCAAGTTAAATATGATGATTTATTAGAAAGGTTTTGGCACTTCTATAAATATAAAAGCAAGGAATTAATCGAACAACCTCAATGGTATTAGAGTCGTCAGCCGAGACCCCAAGTTCCCAAACTGGTTGACTAGCTAGTGGCCGTCCATCCTCTCCCCATTGAGCCGTGAAACCGGCCTTCTCCCGGTCACCAAGATACCTTATCTCCACAACCTTAGACTTTAAGCGTATGAGAGGCCACAAACCGAAGGCGGTGGCGTAGCCATGAAGATAATCCATAATCTCTATATGGGTTGGGAAGCTCGGATCAGCCCGGTTATTCCACGGGTAGTCCGAGAACTCGTAGTCTGGTCGCGGTGTCTGTAGCCTCGTCGACCGATAGGAACAGTGCTTCCAAACGCCGCCGATCGAGTCGGTTGCTTCGAATAGCACCGGCTCGAATGGCAGCAACTGCTTCGCCGCCGCCAGGCCGCTGATACCACCTCCGATGATAGCTATTCTTGAATTCAAATTCATCGTCATGATCACTATGTAGCAATCACACTAATTGTGTGCTCTATAGAACACACACAAGATTTTAATGAAGGTTGTTGATATAAGATGGAGAGAGTGAGGGAGGGAAGGAGAAGATGTTATGGTTTATATAGGAGAATGGTCAGCTGAATATGTTTAGGGTTAGGGTTTGGAAATTCAGTGAGTAGGAAACAAACTTTCTGGAGGTGAAAAAGAAAAAAAAAGAGTTTGGTAGAAATAGTTGAATTGAATGAGAAAAATTCAAACTTCAAATTTTGGTTCATGGTTGGGAGTTTATTTTCCATCTTTTGAAGCATGATGATCAATCCACTATGTTGAAAAGTGGAGCTTTTAAGGTTAGCTATTCCTAAAACATTCAAAGTATGCATGCATGAGGCATGCATTAAGTTATGGACTATGGTTAATCCCATCATGACCACATATATTACATATAATTATGTTGTTATAGAGATCGATCATTAATAAAAAAAAATTAAAACACTCTTTGTTATACTCTTCAAATAAACCTAGAAACATTCACATATATGCCGCCCAATTCTTAATTTATTTATTTGCATATACAAGACCTAAAACTTACTTTGCACAGTTACACAAGCTAAAATTTTCATATCACATCAAAAATATCACTATGTGGTACGTACGTCGATAATCCACTAACTCTTTTTTTAATTATCTATTTGCTAAGAGATTAGAAATATATTTTAGAAGTGAAGATCTTATATGCATCATCGTGCATGTAAGTATAGCTGAACAATTTATGCAAGATTAATTCATTCATTTAAGCCTGCACAATCCATGTGAGTGCTACTTTATAAAACTCTAATGTGCATGCGAGCCTTGTTATGCAATAAGACATATATTGCATAAAATACCAGCTCTATGTGCTTCTTTATTCAATAAATGGAAATGGACCAGCCACATGGTGTTTTGGTTTGGAATGTTTGAACATTCCTCTTTGACGTGACCGTCAATTCTTACAATTACTTTGAACGATTTAATATTATGATCGGCACGAGCCTTAGTTAGGCTGATTAACATTATAATTATATGCCAAAGTCGCATTATATTTTCATTTATTAGACTATTAATCCCTATTATATATATATATATACCAGCGATTAATAAGGGGGAAAGTTATGGGGCATTTCCTCCAAGTTTGAACGACCCAACAATACCTAATATACACGTGCTAATGGAGTCGAGACCGTTGACCATGTGGTATCCTTAAAGCCATTTATTCAAATTTATTATTTTGTGATTTGCATTTGTTTTGCAGTCAAAGTTGAAGTCATTTCAGGGCTTTCAAGGGTGGCGGGGAAGACTCGAGTGTAATCTTAGGCAGTGCCACATATTGGTTTCTTTGAAAAAGTAAAATACTAAGCATACATATACACTCGAAAGAGGCTAGGTAGACATATGTTCTTTGTTAGCACTTAGTTTATTATATAATTTTATCAATTCTTTTACTTCTTATGCCATTATCTTCATTTTACTTTTCTTTTGCAATGAATTTGGATACATATTTAGGAATTTAGATTTACTTAGAAATTTTCTTATTTTAGAAATGTGATGTTGTTTTTACCGGTCCTTCTTTTAGTTTACAAATTGGTCAATTGTATTGTTAAAACATGTTGAGGAACTTATAGACCCGAAAGGGTTAAGTTTTCTTTACTTGTAAGTATCACATTCTACCTTGAAAAGAGTATTCACGATGTTATTTTATATAATGCCGTTTATAGAAAAAAGAAATGTTTGAAGTTTCAAAGAATAAAAGACATGGAAGAGTATGAATCGGCCTTTGAAATGAATGGATCAGAAAATGCAAAGACTTGCTCAACAAAATGACAACAAATCTTGTTTGATTTATAATTATTTAATTTTATATACTTTGAGTTCTTAAAAAAAGTATATAATTCTCTTTAAGGAGAAGGAAAATTTATAGCAATGCTTCTAGAGTTTCAAATTCAAGTTGGTTTCCTTTTCTGTATACTTAATAACAAGAAAAGGGGGGATTTACATGCATACCACTCAATTCCTATGTTTTTACATATCTAGCACCCAAACTTCAATTTTTTGCATGCAACTCATCACCTTTACCATGCATAAAAAAAAGTGTATTTTAGTAATTAGAACGTAAAATGATGGGTGTTTTTGATGTGATATGAAATATATAGGTTGTGAGAATGTAAGAAAATAATATTTAGGTGTTAGATGTGTTTGTAAATTAACAAGAAATGAGTGGTATGTATGTAAATGCCCATAAATATGTAGCGTGCATTGGGAGGATTTCGATTCAAGCTTGGATAGTATAAGTAGGAAGAGGGAAAAACTACTACTTTGAAGATGCAATGATGCATGCCAGCCTTTTCTTCCACATTCCTTTATTATTATTATTATTATTATTATTTTTATTTGGCTTACAATTCAAAGGGAATTAGTATTACTGAGCCAATATTGTGAAACTCTAATTCCAAGAATATTCAGGAGTTATTGTGTGTTATTCAAGTATTATTGATGTGCTATTGTGTTATTATAACACTATGAATATTCTCAGAACACAATAACATTTGAATACCATACAATAACACATGAATAACACACAATAACATCTGAATAACATGAGGGGAATATTCTCTTGTGTTATCGGGTCGTTCACCTCCACGGCGTAATTTCATTGGACTCGTTAATTGGCCTCGGCACGTAGCTCTACGTGCGGAGTCCTGATGTAATATTTTTTTCCAACATTCTCTCCCAGTTAAAGCCTCCAAGACTTTAAAAGTAACAGAGAAGAGAGAGAGAGAGAGAGAGAGAGAGAGATGATTAGCTGATATTGTTAACTAAATTTTGTTTAATTTACTTTACAAGATCGAAAATAAATATGAAAGTTTTTATCAATTTTTGTATTGATCTGTGAGATGAAATTATGAACGGGAATATATATATATAAGATTAAATATATTTTTACAAAATATGAAGAATTATATCATTATATGTAGTCCAAGAGAACGTGATTACGTTTTGCATGTATTTACACTTCTCACACGTAAGGTTTCATATTTACACTATAACGCTCAAATTTTTAATGTGACATAAAAAAAAGCACTATTACGCTTTTTAATGCATAGAATTTAATCACAAAAGTATAATGCATGTAAATATAAAAGTTTGGGTTTCAGACATGTAAATACATAAGATTTTTGTGATATGTATGTAAATTTCCTTAAATTTATTGGGGTGTCGTAGTCAAATTTTAGTTTGAGAACATTTTTCTTTCAAACTATCAAGGAGGGAGAAGAGAGAGAGAGTGTGTGTGTGAGAGAGAGGGAAGGCGCTATCCCTTTCCACTTTGGGAAGCGGGTCTCTTTCTCAAGCCAGTGTCTCTCGGATGGCATTAAGCATTTGTTGTTTCAACTCTTGGATTTGCCGGTTCACGACCTCTCTTATGCAATCCATAATATCAATGCTTTTGTTGTGAGTTACTTTTTCGTGGGTTACGTTTTCGTTCATTTTTTTTTATTTTTAAAGGAGTCGTCAGTTTGTCTATTGTCTTTTTTTTTTAATAAGTCTCTCTTCTGGATCATGTGAATGATCAAGAGAAGAGAGTGATTGAAAATGATGAACATACGACAAAGAAGGCAAACAAGGGAAATAACATGGAGAGCCTACGCACGATAAACCTTGCAATGATAGGTCGAGTTTGCTCCTTCAAACAAGATCAACTTGGACCAATATCCATGAAAGAAGGCCCATGTAAACTACCCACAATCAGAGATTCAGGTGTGTTTGCCTGTTATAGGGTCGAGAGTTCTCCCAAGGGGACGTATCCCACTTAGTTTATTACATCTTGGGGGTTGTTCAAGAATACTCTTGATCCAAAGGAGTTTTGTTTAGTTAGTAGTGACAAGAGATATCAAATAATAGTTATTTCACATGAGAATGTTTCAATGCTTTCAAAACTCCAGCTAAGCCGTGGTGCGGAGAGCGAATCTCTCACGGTTCCATATGGGTAATAAACTTATTGACGTGCAGATGATGCAAAATAATTGAATCATCCTGATGAAAAATCTCAATACGTCAATGCACATCCGAGTCATAAGGGCAGAGAACAAATAGTTGTATCCTAAATGAGTGTCAGCTCATCGGTAATCAAATCATCAAGATGATATCAAAGAATGCAAAAGGAGAGGCAGGGATCAACATTATTAGTCAAAGGAGGAGAGAAGTAGTCCCTAATAGGTAGAGATAAATAGATCATCCCAAGCCAATATGACCCTAAGTCTACCTAGTCGTGAAGGTAGTGAACCCAACAAGTCCAGAGATCCCCGGTCAGTAATTCGTGAATTGTGTCGTCTAGAGGACCTCGGTAGCCCTAAGGTCAAAGAAAAGAAACTTTCTTATGACTATCAGGTGGAGCTCTATGAGATGGGACGTATACCTGCTAAAGTAGCGTGGATGCCGCTGGAATGGGGAGAAATTGGAGGTTCAGGTATAGAGTTGCAAACACTCCCAACAAAAAGGATTCACACTTCATCTGGGTCGAGGAGGCTTCTAACAACCTAAGCATGCTAGATAACTCCTAAGTAGCAATTTATGTTAGGCTAGTGAGGTTGAAGAAGCGCGGGGCTTCTGCTCGAAACATGCATATGATGTAGTTAGCTAGAGTGGTCCTTAGATGTTGTGGAGACCCTATTATATGACTTGGATGAAGGTCATACCATGCAACCCATTTTAAAATCGATCCGAAGGCCAAGCACAAAAGTAAGTGTTAGTTTTAAAAAATCCTAACAATTTTAATCCTAAATTTTAGATTATCTCATTCTTTTATTATTAAGATTTTGAGTAGAAAATTTATAATTGTAAAGTTCTTAATGAGCGTAGATTATAATTTTCATAGCATCTCCGATCAACTAAAAATAAACAAAAAAAATAAATCAAGCATGCAAACATTCAAGAAGAACAATAAACAAGCCCAAAATAATGAAAGGCCT